ATTTCTGGCCCTCGCGCGCGCAATGTGGCCAGGCTGCCACGCTGGAGGGCGGCGCGGAGAAGCGAGGAGTGGCGCGGCGGTGAGGGAAGGGGGAGGGGAAGGGAAGGGGGGGAGGAGGGGAGGAGGGGAAGGGGAGGAGAGGAGGAAGGAAGAAGGGGAGGGTGAGGGGGAGGGGGCAAGCGGCAAGCAATCGATCCATGGACCCCGCAACCACCCGCGACTGCTCTTCGCCTCCACGGTCAAGGGCTGTGACAGCCTCACATGCAGCACCGTCCTGTCGGTGGCCCACCTGCTGTCGCGTTCTCAGGAGGCGCAGTTTGCCGCGCCAATTACGCCCCCCCTTCCTTCTGAGACAGCAGAAACAATCATGGCAAGACGACTCCGAGAGAACGTGGATAGTCTGGAGCACCGCGACGAACCTCGCCTAGATTGTGCAGCTTTCACGGGGCGTTTGATTCTTCCCGCCGACCTGCCAGCCTGGTGGGGGCCCGCAGGGGCCTGCGATGCGGCTCGCTCACCTTGCCAGCGTGGTGGGGGCCCGCAGGGGAAAGCCATCGATGTATCCTCCGAGCGCGGCCGAGGGTCGCTGTGGCATTCCTGTTCCGTGCGGACAATGGCGAGGTCGCGTCGTGCCCACGCTTCGTGCGCACGGTGGTGATATCCCAATCGCACGCATCTGTGGTCGTCCTACGCACACTTGCCACCGTCGTTCCTGCCAGGGTATGCCGACGCGCCTGCCCTGGCGGCCCTTGCCCATAACGAGCCCGCCCTTCGGATCAAAGGGTAGACACGTCATATTCGGAGAGGCAGTAAGGGCAGATTGAGTTCCCACCCACACTGACAGACAAGAAAGAGCCAAGAAAACGTCCTGCTCTTTATGCATGAAGGCACCCACGTCATATCGGAATATGGAGCCGAAAGTACCTATTTTCAACGAACGATTGGTAATTACGTGCCGTTGCTGCCCGCGCCCTTCGCGCCAGTTGCGGGGCAAGCGGTGCGGGGCCCCGCCATGGGCTGCGAGACGGCGAGCATGACCGGCGAATCGGACGCGCGGGTGGCCCTGGCACGTCTGAGCAGAATCCAGACCGCCGTCTTCATGCATGATTGTGGGCCACCCCGCCAAGCCAGCCCACGGAAAATCCTTGGAAACATTCAAGAACGCCTCGGAGCCCATGGGGTAGCCGCCCCATGCGAGCAGCCTTGCAGTCAGGGCCATCACGAAGGCCTTCACCTTGCCAACCGCGCATCGCACCAGCAGCGCGGACCTCTGGTGGCCCAGTGGCCAGGGGCAAAGGCATCAGCGGCCTCCCAGCGAGGATCCAACGCTGCTTCGGAGGGTCGCCCACCGCCGCAATCCACGACCAGCCTCGCGCCAGCACGGGCCACAGTGGCGGCCAGTGGCCCACGGTGGGTTCGCGTCGTGACGACCCGCGGAGCGTCGGTTTCTGAACACGGCGTGGGCCGCTCAACCTCGAACGATCGGCGGCATTCCGATCGTCAGACCGTTCCATGTTGGCCGACTCCTGGCCACAAGCGGCGCTCAACCCTGAACGCCCGCGCTGGGGTCGTCGCCGCGCCGAAACGACGCAAGCCAACGGTAGGTGCGCATTCGGCGCCTGGACCAGACGGGCGTCAAACAGGCTCGGGCCAGGGGCCCAGGCGCCACTCCGCCGCCGCTGCTGTCTTTGCTGCTGCCCGCTACTCAGCCGCATGGCCTTGCAGAACCTGCCGCAGCCGCGCAGGAGGAGGAGGAGGAGGAGGAGGAGGAGGAGGAGGAGGAGGACCAGGCACGGGCGGACGGCTGGAATGGGCAGGAGGCGGGCATAGAACACAGGCGGGCGAGCGGCGACCAATTCTTTCGGCCTCTGCGCCCTCTGGCTTCCTTCCCCCCGCAACTCCTCGAGACGAAGAACCGGTCCCACGGAAGGCGTGCAGACCTGCGAAAAAACACAACGTCGGAGTTGTTGGTCCCTGCCCCTCGCTCCCTGCCCCTGGCGGTCAGCCACGCGTAATCCTAATGACCCGCGGCGGTCCAATTCCTGTTGGGTGGACCAGGACACCAGCGGGGAATCAGAAACAGCGAGAATGGCGCGAGCGAACGAAGCCACACCACCAGTGAACCGATCCACATCGATGGGCGGCTAGGACAAGGGCCGGACACCCAAACATCCTCCGATCTGATTTATTCAATCCGCGGCCCGACAGTTTCCGACCCTTCCCCAGGTTAGTTATTCGTCCCAAGTCCGCGTTCGATAGCCACAGAGCCCGATTACCAGTTCTCGAGGCCGAAATCGAGAACGAACGCTGGGATACAAAAAAAAACATATACACACATGAAAAAACGACGACGACGACGACGACGACGACGATGACGACAGCAGCAGCAGCAGCAGCAGCAGCAGCAGCAGCCAGCAGCAGCAGCAGCAGCAGCAGCAGCAGCAACAACAACAACAACAACAATCATTTAAGACTGGGGACACTCCGTTCTCACCAGTGCCAGGGTTTTCATAGGAGGCGGGCAATACCCCCACTTTGTGGGGGGGCCGGTTCAAGCTCTACCAAATTTCCAAACGACTCTTCGCCACCACCCACACCCAGCTTCCCGCCCTATGACGTTCGGACACTTCACTTCGTGGCATGCGGACGACCGTGGCTACTATTCAGGGCCCCGCGGCCGACGACGACGGCGTGCGCGCGCGAAGAAAAAACGAATGTGTCCAATATGGTATTATTTGACAGGGATGATGGCCCTGGCATGCGCGCAACCGTTGTTGCAGAAGTTCGAAGCACGTGAAAAAGTTGCTCGCAAGAGCCCGTTTGACAGAAATGTTGAAAAATATTGGGTTTCCTCAGAAATCCGCAAGAGCGCGCAAGATGAATTTTTGAAACTTTTTTTTTGAAAAACCATTGGGTTTTTCATGTTTTTATGTTAAAATCGCTACGAAAACTAAGGTTTTGGAAGGATTTCATCTTGCGCGCGCGAGTGTGCACTTCGTGTCATTTTTTTCAAAGGATTCTTGAAGTTTGGTTATGTTAGAACAAGAAATTCATTTTATAGTGTTTTTTGCAAGGGAAAGCGGGCGTCAACAAAACAACCGGATCCGGACACCCACGTTTTGCCTGAGACTTCCTCACGAAAATGATGAAAATGTGGCTGCGGCCTAGGCGCGGCGAGGGGGGCGCGCACCAGGGGTCCCAACAATAATTATTCTTAAGAAGAAATAATGTTCAACAACAACAACAACAACAACAACAACAACAACAACAACAACAACAACAACAACAACCACAACCACAACCACAACCACAACCACTACCACAACCACAACCACAACAACAACAACAACAACAACAACAACAACAACAACAACAACAACAACACCAACACCAACAACAACAACAACAACAACAACAACAACAACAACGGAGAAATTACCTTCAACGACCTCAGGAAAACCAAACAATATTGGTACCTCTACTCCCAGAACGTCTGCCGGGGTGCGTTCTGACAAGGATTTCGACGCGAATCCACACGTGGCGACGAAGGCCTCGCAGGAGGCCCGACAAAGGCTACTACGAGGCAAAGGTAGCGGCATCGCTACCTGATCCTCTTCCGGGACCTGGCCTCCCGCCTCGCCCCCCAGGCCTTCGTCGCTGCTCGGATATCCGAGAGCTCGAGCGGCGGCCCCAGGGGGGGGCGGTGAGCCAGGGAGGGAGGAGGGCCTTGGGGAGGCCGAACGAACAAGCCGCGAAAAGGGCTCCGAGCTCCAGAACACAGCTGCGCAAGAGAATTATCGTCACCGACCTGGCCTCCCGCCCTGCCCCTGGGCCTTCGCCGCTCGGATGTCCGGGAGCTCGAGCAGCACCCGCCCGTCCAGGAAGTCCACGTCGGTTCCGTCCCCGCTGCAGGTCTGCAGCTGGAGCGAGGGCGCGCGGCGCCAGGGTGTTGCGGGGAAGGCAGGGAAGGGAAGGGAAGGGAAGGGAAGGGAAGGACAGTGAGGGGAAGGGAGGAAAAAAAGAAGGGAAGGGAAGTTTTTTTTCCCTGTGGGACCATGGGTGAACAGCCTCTGGCTTGCCACCTGCAGCCACGCTTGGCCTCCACGGCGGCGAAGGCTGACCGCAGCGCAAATGGGATGACTTGCCCCCACGCGCCGTGCACGCTAAGGCAAGCTGGCACGCTGGTCACACCAGAAAACCCCGAGAAGTGGCGGAGGCGCCGAAGCGCAGAAAGTGGTCCACTCGGGAGGACTGGCAGCGGCGACAAAGAAAATCAGCCCTGCAGCCGACTTTCAGACCCCCCTCTTTTGGTCAAAAGGGGGGGTCCCTGCAGAGACCAGCGGAGCCGGCTAGTCCGAGTCCCCCGTCTGCGCACCCCACAGGCGGCAGCAGGGGCGCCCCATCATCTTCCTCCCTAAGTGAGCGCCCGACTCCCTGCTCCTCACTCCGACAAACGCGCGGAGGCGGCTGCGACTGCGGCTGGACCTAGACAGCTGGCTTGTTCAGCGCCCTTTCACGCTGTGCAAACTGAGAAGCTCGAGTATCAGCAGTATTGTAATGCTGAGGCGTGGACATGGTGTGGCTGAAACGAAGGTGCCTACATGCTAGAAGCCGGCGAAGTGAAAGGCATTTTCCTTCCCCGAACAATGAGCAGGTGACGGTGGCAGGTGACGGTGGCAGGTGACAATGAACCTGGGCACATCGTTGGCAGGTGACAGCGTGCACTGACAGTAGCAATCACACCGCATGCAAAAGAAGATCGGCGCGCCGCTGAGGTCTACAACTGCGGTTTGGCGAAACGCGTGAATGCTCTCGAGGACGTCTGGAATGCTGAATGCAATTGTTTGCAAGTTAGGTTATCACGCGAGCGATCTGCTTTGAAGGTCCTGGCAAAATCGAAACAAGCCGAGCATTTGTAAGGAACTGAGCCGTCCAGAAGTTCCCCCCACGCGTGGACCACACCACACACCTGCTCCTTACGCTCACCCCTAGCACTCTCACTCTTGTGATTATTTATCTGGCACAGGGCCAGCACTCTTGGGGCAGAGTTGACCACCGCTTTGGCCGTGGCAATCGTGTGTTCGAGCTGCTGCAACGCTGAAATATTAAATGCGGGATGGCAAGAGACACGCGTGGCTACGCTTCTTTGGCGGCCGCATCGGCAGTCTAGATGATTTCAGCAGCAAACTTGGCCTGTCCAGTTGGACTCTCTACGTCCTGGTGGCTCTTGATATCGAGAAATTCTTGGATCAACTGCCTACCATTCGGCGCAAGTGCAAACTTGTGTAGGCCTGAAGACTTAAGCTTGGCACTGAAACGCTGCGGCAGAGGCTTCGCATGCTAAACGAAGGCCGCCTTGCAGGCCACCCAAGAGCAAGCAGGCTTAGTGAAGGCCTCTTTAAGCACTACGAAATTCATGTGATCCCCATCCTGAGTCTGAGGGAAGCTAGCCCACCGAGAACGGAGCCCTGCTTAATTCAGCGATGTCTAGTCTGGTGCATGACCCATCAGTCCCCGGGAGCCCCCAGAAGTCGTGGACCCTCTCTGGCTGACCATCGTGACGCTTGAATTGCACGATAGGCACTTCCAATGGCAGTGGTACATCGTCGTGCTGCTCTCCAGGGTGCTCGAACTCTCCGCAACAGAACAGCAGGCTCTGCTCTGGCGCCTCCAGCGCGGCCTGCACAACGTCTGGCGTCAAAAACTCTGACCTGAGGGCAACTGCCTCTGGGTGCTGGCAGCAATAAAATATATTATCTATGGTGTCCCTAGAAATTTGGCACGGGAGGCAAGCGTTGGGAGCGTTATACCGTACATGGGCCAGCTTATCTTCAGTCCACCATCCTTAAACAACCAGAGTTTGGAGAATGGGTTTAAATTGAGGCGCCAATGTTTGGCAATTTGAAGAGGGAAGGGAAGAAATGGAAGAGAACGGAAGGTATGAAGGAAGGAAGCCAGGGAGGAAGGAAAGACAGGAGGAAGGAAGGGAGAACCCAGCTCTCAGTGTCTCTTGGTGTTCTTCGATTTTGGCATCTGGAGCCCGTTCTCGGACCCCGGGGCCATCAACAATGGATCCAGGGTAAAAACCTGGCCCCAGCGAAATGCCGGAAGGAGGGAAGGAAGTCACGTCTACAGTCATCGTACTACCAAACGGAACGTTGAACAAGGAACGACGGGGCTTTTCTGGACACGGCAGGCCCCGATTTCGAACGGGTTCCCCGACCAAGATCTAAAGAGCGGCCCGAAGACCCAAAGCCCCTCCTAAAACCGAAGTGGCCCTCATATCGGAAGGGAGGATCGGCTACACACAAGCGAGACCCTAGGCAACAATGACACTTGGCGCGCGGCTTGCCGATCGCTGCGTGCGATGCGACAGCAGCGGTCTGCTCGCTTGAGATTGGCCTCCCCGCGTCCCCCGAAAGCCGCGCACCAAAGGTCGCTCTGACAAAGTGTCACGCTTGCGTGCAGCTGGAAGCAAGGAAGGAAGTCCCGTCTAAGGCAGGGGACGGACGAAGCGCCGCAGATGAGCTCCACGACGACTGCAGACCAAGGCCAAGGTCAAGCCTGTATGCCCGCGAAGAGGCATTCGCTTAGGACACAGGCGGGTAAAAACTAGCAGGCGCCCTTGTGGTGAAGAACACCTCGAGTCATACACTTCCGGGGGTGCATGCCTTTACCTAAGACTCCCCAGTCACCGATCCCAAACTCACTGCAGACCAATATGCCGAAGTTACCAGTGCACGTCGGCAGCCCCATGACGGCGAAGGGCGGGAGGGGGCGGGGTTGTGACAGGTATGGTGCCCGAGCTGTGGGCCGCCCCGAAGCACCGCCGCCCGTCTTGGCGCCGCCTTGGCCAGCGCTCGCCTCGGAGGCTCGTTGGAAGACCTCCACGCCCCGGAGGGAGCCCCCCAAACGGACCCGAGACGCCTGAAGAGGGCCCCACGCGGGCCGAAGATGGCCTCAAGGCAAACCAAGACAAGCCCCAGAATAGCCCCAAGTCAGCCCAGAACGACCCTTGCTCCAGAACCACTGTGTGGCACTTCCAAGACCCCTTCTGGCACCACGCCAAGTGGGCCACAGGACCCTTTGAGGCAAGGTCGCGATCTATTTTGAGTCGACGCTTCATCACCATCATCATCATCACCACCACCACCACCACCGCCATCATCATCATCATCATCAGCAGCACCATCATTATGATCACCACCACCACCACCATCATCATCATCATCTTCATCATCATCCTCATCCTCATCATCAGCATCAACATCATCCTCATCATCAGCAGCATCATCATCATTGTAATCATCATCATGATCATCATCATTTGTCCTGTCATGGCCGCTCTCAACTGCATGAGTCCATCCTCGGACTGCACAAGGACACCCATTGGTGTCACATGGGTTGGCTAGATTCGATATGCACTACCATGTATTATGCTTGGTCGTGCCAATTTCGCTGAATCCCCTTGCGAAGATGTGTTTCTGCTTCTGGGCACTGCGATCACGCATTCCGTAAATATCCACAAAAGCTTTCTGCCGTGCACATCGCACCACCCAAATCGTCCTGCGATCGGTACGTTTGTACGTCGGGCAAAACAAAAAAGGATTAGAAAACGATTAGCTCGGACCTGGCAGTAAGCAATTCAACCCTGCGAGTGTTCAGCGTCATGGGTGTGACGGGTATGGCGCGAAAGCACAAGCGCGTCGAGAACTTACCGAATGGCCCGTTCACCTGCGCTGCCCTTTGAAATCTGATTCGTTTGCACTCTCCCCCTGCCATCAGGTCCAAATTCGACCGGCGATTCACCGGAAGCCAGGGTGAGGGGGGGGGAACGGTCTTACACCATCCCTGGGTGCGTGCCTGAAGTGGGCTTCCGCGGTGATGATTATTGTTGTGGCGTTGTTGTCGCCGTCCTCGCCCGCGGCCTGCCTGCACCCCACCCGCGACAAGGCCGCGACCCACCCGATACCCACCCGCAATCCAACCGCGACCCACCTGCGACCCACCCCCGACACGCCCGCGACCCACCCGCATCGCTGTGGCAAAAAATTGGCGCTATTGGTGCAAGTTCCCCTGCAACACGTCCTAGCAGCGACATCGACATCCCAGTCCATATCCAAGCTTCAACATCCGCCACAATGCCGCGGGGCAATGAGTGGAGTGTCCTAAGGCCCACTCGGGTTCTCTGCGGTACTGAACAATCATGTAAGAACCCGCCACTTGCCACGAGGCACTGAACGGAGTCTTATCTGGTCACTTCGAGCTCTTTGTATTTGCCCCTCTCGGCCGAGGGCAGGGTCAAAATTAATGTTGCTGGGTGACCCCACCTCCGCGATCTCCGCCACGGGCACCTGGCCAGGCTCAAGAGCAAACGACAAGCGGCCCTTGCGTTCGAGCGAGTTGGCCGCACGCACCTGCTCTGGGGGCAGCAGGCTGATACGGCGAGACTTGGCGTTGAGCTGCCTGCACCGCTGGGTCAACAACACGTCGGATAACAGACGGTGCAGCCCCACCTTGAACTGATGGCGCTTGTTCCACGTATCGGAAATGTCCCGCGCCTCCGTGTCGTCCAAAGAGTCGTCTGGCCGCTGGGCAATGCGGCCCGAACGTATGCCAGCCCCCCAGTCCAGACGGCCGCGGCAATACCATCAGAGTTTGGCAACGGAGACCTTCTGGAGGCGTCCACGAGCTTGTCCTCGACCTTGGCCTCGTCGGAGGTGCCGCTGGCCAGATCCTCGCAAGTCTTGTGCCCCTGCTGGGTGTCGCAACAAACCGCACAACGCGCAGAGGCGTCGTCCTGGACGCCCTGCTGATGCTGGAAGCCTTCGCTCAGGTGCAAAGACATCTGAGGCCTCAGGGAGCACGACAGTACAGGGAATGGTGAGCCTTCAAGCGGCGCGCGCGACTCCGGGGCACTCGAACCACAGGGCTACGAATGTCACGGAGTCGGTGCGCCACGCATATCCTTACAACCTCTTGCTTGTCCGGGTTATCCGTGGCGACCGTGTTTGGCACGAGGGGCCAGAAGCCCCTCCAGGAACGTCAATGAACCACGTTCCCAGAGGGCTCTCCGGCAACATGAACTGGAAGGCCTCTCCTGGAACATATCTGGGGGCCTCTCCCGCAACATACATCACGTTCCCGGGAGCCTCTCCGGGAACATGATCTGGAAGCTTTCCCCAGAGCATAGGAATAGAACCACGGCTGGACCCGCCCGACCGCCCAATCAGCACGCCCGGGCCACCAGAGTCCCACCCAAAGAGGGCGCCCTCTGGGAGTCGCAGCGCCACGGCCCTGGGGCCCGCCGGGCGTCACGGCGCCAGGGTCCAGGGCCTGGCATTACGGCTCGAATCGAACGCCCGGGGCCCACCCTCCGCGATTCCAAAGCCACCCTCGTCCACGCCTTCCCCGCCAGCCTCACCCCGCACTCCGGCTCATACTGGGCCCATTAACCAAGCCAGACCCAGGCCTGGCGGAACCGTCGACACGGAGACCGCCATAAGCCATCCGGGCATGGACAGCCAGGAGGGTACCAGCACAACCGTGGGGCTGCCCGCAGGGCGGCATGAAGGGCGGAGAACGAACGCCGGCAAACGACCGTGGACGCATGAGGTGCGAGCCAGGGGGGAAACCGAGGCGGGCACGAGGACAAAATAAGGCGAAGCGGCCAAGCAAGGTGCCATACTCGCCAAGAGCGTAGGCAAAGGAGTGCTCAGCACAAAGACCAAAACTGGCGCGGGCCCCGCGTCGGAAGAGCGGCAAAGCCGGGCCCCGCGCCGAGGCTGCAGACCCCCCTCCCCCTGGCTAGACGGGAGGCTGGCCGTCTCAGCGAGGAAGCAGCCCCGCCGCCAGCCACAAGAGAACTGGTGCGGGAGGGAGCAGATGAGGGAGCAATGCCGAGGTTGTCACTAGGTATGTTGCCGAGGTTGTCACTGGGTATGCTGTCGACGAACTCGCCAGGAGCGACGGCGGAGAAATCGGCGGGTGTAGAATCTTCGTTGCTGGGGTGGTGGTGGCCTGTGGCCAGCCAGGACCTCCACTTCACACGGAAAAGGAGCACCTTTCCACTCCCAGTCAAGCCAGGTGGCGACCTGCGCAGCCAGGCGGCGCTGCACTGCGCAGGGCTTGTGGGGACCTGCCAGCGAGCCGGGCTCGGGCGCGACGCGCGCGTTGGGAGGCGGCGAACGAACGAACGACCACCAATGCGGACAGCAATCCGAGCCTACTGGAGACCAGGTGAATGAGGCCGTGGCCTCTGAGATACTATTGTGCATGGTGAGGCGTAAGGCATATCGGTAAGGCGCGACCCCGCTGGTGGGATAAAAGCGGGAGGGGCAAGGGCTGGTGGTGGCGACGCGGGAAAGGTACCAGAAGCGGCAGCGCGCGAGGCTGCCCCGCGGTTACTGGCAGGCCGCGCACCGATGGCCGCGGGCCCGTGGTCGGAGGCGGAGTCGTCGCCGTAGAGCTCAGCTGCCCGTCGGGTGGCGATGGGGGTGGTGGCGGGGCGGGGGGGCCAGGCAGCCGGCGCTCTGGCACCACGAGCCTGCCACGGGAGGGCATGGGGCCAGGCCGTCGCTGGACGCCGCGCCGCTGCCGTAAAGCTGCGGCGTCCACCTGGAGGGCGGTAGGCGTACGCTGGCTGACCACACGCACACACATACACACACACACACACTCACACACCTCCCCGAATAGGCTTCGCCTGATGGGTTCTGACGTGTTCGTGAATGACCAGTGGGTGCACGGCCTGCGCCAGCCAAGGTTGCTCGGGGTTCCTTCGTCATGTTTATTTACAGTGCAGTTGCTCGGGGTCTTATTTCTTTACAGTGGCGCTCCTCGGGGTTGCTTGATCTGGTTTCCTTACAGTGGCCTTCCCAGGGTTGCCTGGGTTTGCTTCCTTACTATGGTGTTGCCAGAGTATGTTTGGTCGTGTTTCCTTACTGCATTTCCGGTGTGTTTGATCTTGCTTCCTCGCTGCGTTCCTTCGGTTGCTTTGCCTTAAACCATTGATCCCAAGCAGCGCCACGACATGCCAAGCAATGCAATGCAGAGAGGGGAGGGGAAGGGGAAGGGGATAAGAGAGGGTGAACGAGTTGGAGGAGAGGAGGCCGCTCGGGGAAGCGGCGCAGGTGGAGAAACGAGAAGCAAAGGCGAGGGAGAGCATCCCCAAACGACCCCGCAGAATACCCGCCCTTCCTCCTCTCTGGGGGGAGAGGGCAACCTGAGAGGAGATAACGGTGTGCAGGGGGCCTCCCTCCTGCACTCTTGCTCCCGTTCTAGCCCTTCCCTCACTCCCTCATGCTCGTCCTCCTCCTCTTCCTCCTACTCCTCCTCCTCCTCCACGTCCTCCTCCGCTTCAACCTCGTCATTATCACCGTCATGACCACCACCACCACCACCACCACCACCACCACCATCATCATCATCATCATCATCATCATCATCATCATCATCATCATCATCATCATCATCATCATCACCAACATCGTCATCAACATCATCATCATCATCACCACCACTACCACCGTCACCATCATCATCGTCATCACCAGCATCATCATCATCATCATCATCATCATCATCATCATCATCGTCATCATCATCATCACCATCATCACCATCATCACCATCATCATCACCACCACCACGATCATCCCAATCATCAACATGATCCTCATCATCATCATCACCACCACCATCATCACCATCATCAACAACAACATCATGTTCATCATCATCCACCACCGTCACCATAACCATCACCAGCATCATCAGCATCACCATCATCATCATCATCATCATGTTCCTAATCATCATCATGATCATCATCACGATCATCATCATCATCATTATCATCAGCAGCATCATGATCATCATCGTCATCATCAACAACACTAGCATCATCATCACCACCACCATCATCGTCATCAGTATCATCATCGTCACCACCACCACCAGCATCGACATCATCATCACAATCACCACCACTACCGTCACCATCATCACCATCATCATCATCACATCATCACCATCATCACCATCATCATCACCACCACCATCATCCCAATCATCCACATGATCATGATCATCATCACCACCACCATCATCCTCATCCACCACCATCACCATAACCATCACCAGCATCATCATCATCACGATCATAATCATCCTAATCATCATCATGATCATCATCACAATCATTATCATCATCATCATCATCATCATCATCAGCAGCAGCATCATGATCATCATATCATCATCAACACTATCATCATACTTATCATCATCATCATCAGCATCATCATCAGCATCACCAGCGTCGTCATCATCATCACCATCACCACCACTACCACCGCCACCATCATCATCATCAGCATCACCATCATCACCATCATCACCATCATCACCATCATCACCATCATCACCATCATCACCACCACCACCATCATCCCAATCATCAACATCATCATCATCACCATCACCACCATCACCATCATCACCATCATCAAGAACAACAACATTTTCATCATCATCATCCACCACCATCACCATAACATTCACCAGCATCATCAGCACGATCATCAGCATCCTAATCATCATCATGATCATCACCACGATCATCAGCATCATCATCATCAACACTATTATCATCATCATCATCATCATCATCATCATCATCACCATCATCATCATCATCAGCATCAGCATCAGCATCAGCATCAGCATCATCATCAGCATCAGCATCATCAGCATCGTCACCTTCTGGGGCCGTGGCGGCCGATCGCGCGCGCGGGGGGCCCCGCGCCGCCTCGCTGGGCAGCGACGCGGCGCCGAGGAGCTCCCGCCGGGGGGCGTCCACCACGCCGAAGGGTTCCGGCCACGCGCCGCCGCCGGGCGGCGGCCCCTTCCTGGCGCGCGCGCGCGGAGAGCGAAGAGCCCTTCGCGGGCCCACCGCGCGCGGGCCATCCGCGGCACGGGGAGCCGTCCGCGGGCCCTCCGAAGCCCGAGGACGCGCGGGCCCACCGCCACGCGCGCGCCGCGCGCGCCGCGCGCGCGAAACCCAGGGCCCGGGGGAATCCCAGCGCTCGCTGTCTTCCTGGCTGGCGGGCACCCGCGCGGCGGGGGACAGTAAGGGGATGGCAAGGGGAGGATGGACGGCAAGGGCAATAAAGCCCCGCCTACAAGTGTCACCTTCGTAGATCCCTGCCTGATTTGTCGTCATAGCGGGAAGTGCCCCATTGGATAACAATCATCTGAAAACGGTCAGCTGCGCCTAATCAAATTCCTGGGATTTCGACGCCGAGAATCAATATGACTGGCGTGCACTTGTTTTCTCGCGGAAAGCGGTTCTCTCTACTACCCTCGCTGGACTAAACCACTCGGATCCGAAAAGAATCAAAGCGAGTGCTTCGCCTCGCCTCAAGTTCAAATCACACCCTGGAAATCAAAAGGGAGGGAAAACCGACACGGCTTAGATGGATAGGAGCGAGGATGCCTACATATTGGTACGATGAGGATCGAAGAGGCCGACGCCCAAAACCCCGCTAAATCATTCATGTGCACGCACCCCCATGACTCATTTCTGGTTTTCGCAAGGAATGGTTATACTCTGTTATCCTCTTTGATGTAAGCGACGCGGATCCGATAATTATCAACGCGAGGGCTTCGCCCGGCCTCAAGTTCAAGTCGCACCCTGGACAGGAAAAGGGAGGGAAAGCCAAGACGGCTTGAAGGGATGGGAGCCAGGATGACTGCAGAGTGACACGATGAGGATCGCACCCCCATGAGTTGCCCTTGTGTTTCGGGGGGAACGGTTCTCTCTACGAGACTCGCTGGTCCAAGCGACTCGGATCCGAGAATGATCAAGGCGAGGGCTTCGCCTCGCCTTGATCACACCCAAATCAGATTCCCAAAACAGCCAAATCACACCC